TCAAAAATAAAGATTAAAAAAACTAATTAATTAATTTTAAAAATATGCTCTGATTGGGGCGCCTGGGTGGCGCAGTCGGTTAAACGTCCGACTTCAGCCAGGTCACGATCTCGCGGTCCGTGAGTTCGAGTCCCGCGTTGGGCTCTGGGCTGATGGCTCAGAGCCCGGAGCCTGCTTCTGATTCTGTGTCTCCCTCTCTCTCTGCCCCTCCCCTGTTCATGCTCTGTCTCTCTCTGTCTTAAAAATAAATAAACGTTAAAAAAAAAAAATTAAAAAAAAAATATGCTCTGATCAAGATAATGATGACTGTTGTCAAATGTCAAATGGGATTGGGGATTTTATAGTTACATGTGAAAACCTGCTGTGGAATTATTGATGGTTTTATCAACCTTTTCTTTAATGTTGTTCTCAGGTCATCTTTTCCATTAAAAAAAAAAAAATGAGAAGGGCCAAAAAAGTGAGAGAAGCAGGGCAGAATTGAGACTTTAAGGGAAAAAAGGAGAGATGGAGGGTGAGAGGACATGAGAAACAGCCTGTGTCAGTTTGTGCAGAGCTTTGGTCTAGGAACTCAACAAACACATTCTAATCCAGGCATCTCAAACAAGGCTGCACTAGAATCATGTGAGGAACTTTTAAAACATACCATTCCCAGGCCACACCTCTGACCAGTACCTGGAGAATCTCCAGGGACGGAGCTGGCCGAGTGCTAATGCAGAGCCAGGTTTGAGAACCTTGCTTTTATCTCCTTGCTGTTCTAAGCGCGGTCACCGGACCAGCTGCTTCAGCATCGCCTGGAAGCTTGTTAGACGTGCAGTCTCCCTCCACTTAGGGCTCCGCTCAGACCCACTGAATCACAAGCCCATTTAGGATCCCCAGGCGATCCTTATGCACAGTTAAGCTCGAGGTGGCCACTCTGAATTCTGATCTATTCTGGGTTTTCCCCGATACTGTTGAAGCTCATCCCAGGATTTGGGATGGGATGCCATCTGCTGTGGGTGGACCCAGATCCCGATTAACCCCACATATTTTTTCTCGAAGGCCAGGCAGGACTGTGCTCCCCAATTCTCCGGCCATTTCCCCAGCCTGCCCCATCCGCACCTTCTGAACCCCAGCCTGGAAGCCCCTCAGATGGCTGCACTTGATCATCTGGTGAAGGAGGACTTGAGCCACTGCGGCATCCAGCAAATCCAGGTCATGGTAGAAACAGACCAGCAGCCCCAGCCTGTGTGGGAAGATAAGGGTGCTGGCAGGGGGCTCAGAGCTGGGGGTCACAACCACAGCCCTCTCCCACACAGAGCCAAGAGTCACGGTCAGAGCAGCTATCACATGCCAGGGACTGTGCTGAACCCTGTACCCGGATTACCCCATAACAGCAACCCTACAAGGCAGATGCTCTGAGCCCCATTTCACAGAAAGGCAGACAGACTCAGCATGGTCAAGTGACTGGCCCAAGACCAGACGTGGCCCCAGGACTTAAATCGAGACCCATCCAACTATGCTCTCTCTTCCCGAGGCAGTAAGGGGCACAAGGAAAGTGTGGTCCTGAGTTAGCCACAGAAAACTCCCCATTTTCCACACGGAGATAAAGGGTTTGTCCACCCTGAGGGATTCTCTGAGGCAGATGTATTTCCAAGATGGTTTATGACCTACACCGCCAGAAAGGAAAGAAAAAGGAAGCATAACAATGTAAGGGCGGAAGGGGGATGTGAACCCTGGTCTAGCTGGGGGTGCTGTATTTTGTGGTTAAGAGCATAGATTTAGGCCAACAAGAGTTTGAAGCACAGCTGTATGGGATGTTTGAGCCAACAAATTACTTAACTTCTCTGCAAGGCTGCTGCACAGTTGAACAGTGCACATGGTGCACTACTGTACAGGGTGGACCTGTCTCTCTGAGCCTTTAATAAAAGGAAGGTTGGCTTTGTTCATCACAGCACATCACAATAAATATGATGAATGTAGGCATCAGGAGTACTGTGAGAGTTCAATGGGAAGAGCCATACCACTTGATTAGCATCCTTCCCGGTAGACACCAGGCACTGATTCATTAATGGATGCTCGTAGAGTTAGTATTAAATCTATTCAATTCAGCATGGCTGGACCACCTGGTTGACCATGCTCAACCTGGATCCACCCTCTTAGAAAGACAGCGACATGCTCAGACATGTCCACAGAAGAGCAACCGGGTCAGGAAGGATTTGAAAATGTGTCAGATGAGAAAAGAATACTCAAGGGAAGTGAAGGCTGAAGAACTACTATCCTGAGCACTTACTATGTGTCAGGTGTGCATAAGCCTTACAAGGACCTTGAAAAGGGAGGCAGGTTATTATCTCCCATTTTACAGATGGGGGAGTGGAGGCACAGAGAGGTAAAGTAACACAGCCAAAATCACGCAACTCGTAAGTGGCAGAGCCAGAATTAAACCCAGGAAGTCTGGCTCCAGGTCCCATGTTCTTAACCAGTAAGCTATTTTTGTGTACCCCTAAAAAGGGGACCCAAGCTAATGGATAAAAATTAGTAAGGATGGGGGAAGAAGGTGTAATAGTTTCATATAAGAACATTCCCTATAAGCGACTCTGATAAAATTTAACATAATACAGTGACGTCAGGGGAAGCACTGTGACATGTGTCCTTGAGAGACGGAGAGATGGTTGAACAGCACTCCCCATTGCATGCTCCCTCTGGCTAACATTCAAATCCTTTCTGGGGTCACCAAGTACATAGCTCCAGGCCTGCCTCTGCTGGAAAGCATTCCTGGAGGATCATGTTACAATCACTAAATTCTAGAGCCGACATCATCTGTGGACTCCCCACCCGAGAAGCTGGATAACAAGAGGTTCACAAATATGGGGAGCCAAAAGCTATTTCTAATACTTTACCCACCCTAATGGAAACCACACATTTACCTTGGAATAGACCAAGTACTGAGTATTTAAAATATTCTATTTCTATGCCCACAGCTGGAATCTTAGCACTTGATAAGGTTGCATTAAACGCCTGGCACAGGAGATGCTCAGAAAGCATTTGTTCTACCTCACCCCACCTCCCAACCCTTTCAAAGGGTGTTTCTTTGGGGAAACGCCTCCCGTCACATGCACAAAGACATGGGGCTATATAAAGAGATAGACCAGCCACCTCCCTTCCCTCCCAGGGTCTTCTGCTGCTCAGAGGAAGTTGGTGCTTAGATCACATCTTGGGAAAGAGCTGCGAGGACCCAGAGCCCCCACCCCTTGCCTGTGGATGGTGGAGGTATTCCTCATGTCAAAGCTGGAGGAGCTGATCCTCTCCAGAAACGCCTGGGCCAGGTCAGGGGTGATGTCATAAACTGTGTCCAGCTGCTTGGTGGCATTGTCATAGCTGATAAACAGCCCAATCTGGTAGACAAGGACAGGAAGGGGGTTGACGTCACCCCAAACAGCCCCACCCTTGCGGTCCACACTGCACCCCATCTCAGAGATTCCAAGATGCCCAGTTCCTGTGGTCATTGATTTCTCAACAGTCTGTAACAACTGTTTTGGTTTCCTCTTCAACCCAAATGCTATTTAGGAAAGTATTATATTTTAATATCGGAGCAGTTGAACTCTTTGAAAGCTAATATTTGCACCCTTATTTGTAGATTTGTTATATGGAGGTCAGAGAATGTGGTCCACAAATGTTTCACTTTGGGGAATCAGGTTTTTTTTAAGTAGATGAGTTTACAAATGGGCCTCAGGTGATGAAAAAGAGTGTGTGTTCCCACGGTAAGATACAAATATATAGAAAGATACAGATAAATAGATTCAACTTTATTACGTATACCATTCAGATTCTTTCTGTTCTTGTTCATTTTCTGCCTATGTGTCCAAGGGTGTCAAGCTGAAGTCTTATCTTTCTATGCACTGCTACTCTGTGCTTATAAAGTTGTCTCTCCCTTGAGGATTCTACTCTTTCTCCAGATAAATTCCCCCTTCGTGCTGGTCCTCTGTGGCTTTGCCTCTCTTCTCTACACTTTTAGATGATGAAGAAAAGTTGCAAATGGCCTCTTGATCTTAGAAATTCCTCCCCAGGGGCCCAGCTTCCATAAAAATTTAATCTCTATCTAACTTCTGGAAATTCACTCAATATTGGGAGAGTAAAAGCGAGGTTTAATCCATTTGATAACTGAGGATTATAAATTGAAAGTTAGGGGCACCTGGGTGGCTCAGTTGGTTGAGCATCCGATTTCAGCTCCAGTCATGATCTCATAGTTCGTGGGTTTGAGCCCCACGTCGGGCTCCGTGCTGACAGCTCCAAGCCTGGAGCCTGCTTCAGATTCTGTGTCTCCCTCTCTCTCTGCCCCTCCCTGCTCACACTCTGTGTCTCTCTCTCAAAAATAATAAACAAATAAGTAAATAAATAAATAAAAATTTATGTGAAGTATTCTCAGCCTCCTAGGTAAAAAGAGGAACCTACATATGTCAACCACACTGCAGTTAAAAAATTTTTCAAAAATTTTTGAAAAGAAAAACTTGGCTCTGCCTCCAGTTTCATAATAACCAGACATCGTTGGGTCAATTGGCCCTTGAACAAGCCAGCCATCTGATACAAACACTTCTCTCACTGGCCAGAAGAAAGTCAAGGCACACAAGATAAAAACTGGAGGCAAGCCCCAAAGTCTTTATGAATGCCTCTCTGTTGGCAGCGTGTTTTGGAGACTGCTTTCCAGAATCATGATGCCCAGGGGTTTTAGTGTCATTGGGTTAACATCAGGAAGACAGAGACAGGCTGACCAGTGAGTTAAGTAACCTTAGAACTTACATATTTCTCAACTGTAAAGTCTATAGTTAAAATCCAATCATTGCTCATGCTGAAGTAGCAATCAGTAGAAGTAGCTATAAATACAAGTTGCTAGTAATCTATGTTTCATTTGATTGGAGTTCACGCTTCCAAGAACTGGAAACTCTATAGCTGTCGTCCTTGGCCTTTAAATACCCTAAAATGACTTTTGGTTCACAGCCAACATTTTTTTTATACCATGTTTGTTCACATCAGAGCTATCTTGGTTGTCTGCAATTCTTTTCTTGGCCCTTCTGCACTAAACACAATCTGATGACCAACCACATGAGAGTTTTCTCTAGAGGCTCAAGATATATTGGCTGAGGTGGGTACCCAATCTTCCAGGGCACCTGGACTAGCTGGCTAAACACGACAGGTTTAGAATACACCTTTCCCCAGATGGCTTGGTGATGGGGACATGTAAATGTACTTTTCCAACTTACTTCTACAGGACTAATTTTCGTAATTTCTTCAAATGATAGGTGAACCATATATCTGCCCAAAATCCATAAGTTTTCTGCACTGACCCATGAAACAGAGTCATCTGCAAAAAATAAATGACGAAATATGATAAACAAATAAATCAGTAAATAAATAAACAAATAAAAGCTTTTGCACTGGTATGTGATAGTCAAAAGTATCTTTGATGTCAGGACCTCCTTCCTGTGTTCATTAATTCATTCAATAACCATTCATGAAGCACCTCCTACCTATGAGATGCTATGCTACACGCAGGCAAATCACAGATGCCAGCCATCTGAGGCTTTGTTTGTAAGTCATCAGTGTGGTCCCCAGACCAACAGCACCAGCATCACCTGGGAACTTATTAAAAATGCAGGTTATTCTTTAATAGTTAAGGTCACAAAATAAGCTTTTCTTCCAGTTCACTTAGTTACTAAATAGTCTCACAACTTGAAATATATTTGACTCTCTTTTCTTACTACCAGTAACAATCATTATTCAGCCATATTGATTAGCACCAGGTTCCTGTACTTGAGCCAAACCAACTACTTCTCCTTCCTCATATGCACCCCAAACGTTCTCCAAATCTTCTCTCACGTGCGCCCTTCTTATCAGCCAGAATGCCTCTGCCCTAACTCTTCCGCTCTGAAATCCTACCTTCAAAAACGACCTCAAATATTTCCTCTTTCTTAACGCCTTGTCTTGTCTCCTCAGTCATCAGTAATTTCTCCCTCTGAAATCCCGGAAGACTCCCTCTGTCACTCTGTTCAGGCATTTGAAATTGCTCATCAGTGGGATGTCAGTGGGACTTCAAGAACAATCATGTTCAGGATCTATCTGGACTTCAAGTTTCACTAAGCTAGAATCGGCCCCCATTACCTCTAATCCTCCAGTAAAAGACTTTTACACACAACAACATTGTGTTGGTGGCACTTCGGAGAAATGGAAGAAGCAGGGGAGCATTTTCAAGGCACAGTGAATCCATTACCAAGAGCTGTTGCGAAAAGCCATGGGCAATGACTCACATGCCCAGATGAGATGGTGAAGTCGGCCGCTGCTTGGGCTGGGTCACAAGAACAACAGGGTGTCTCCCCAACCCAGGAATCAGAGCTGTTGGGGTGAGCACAGGTAAACACCCTAGGATTCCCTAGATGAGATAAAGACTCTGGACATCTGAATTGGTTATTAGAAGGGTGGTCCCAGAAGACTAGAGAGTTTGGGAGAGGGGGGAACCACTAAATTCATCAAGAACCAAGGTGAGTTGTTAATTTTAAATTAATTATAAAGCATAAACTGTATTTCTGAAGTCCAAGGATCTCCAAGATTGGATTTTCTTTTTTTAGAGGCAGACTTTTTTTTTTTTTTAAGTTTATTTATTTATTTTGAGAGAGAGAGAGCTAGCAGGGGACGGGTAGAGAGAGAGAATCCCAAGCAGGCTCTGCACTGTCAGCACAGAGCCTGATGTAGGGCCCGAACTCATGCACCATGAGACCATGACCTGAGCCAAAACCAAGAGTCAGACACTTAACCGACTGAGCCACCCAGGTGCCCCCTCAAATACTTTGAGTATTTTTCACACTCAAAGTATTTCCAGGTACCTCAAGGAACTTCATGAAAAATAAAAAGCTTGAAGTCTAAACAGAATTTGTTTTAATTCACTTTAGTATAATAATGAAACATAACGTCGAGGAATTTTAGAAGAAAGTCTGTCTCTAATTAAATTTTGGCAATAAGGATTCTGGAAGTCTAGAGTTGAGTGGCTGTCTTAGGGTTACACAGTGTGAGATTTAGAGGCCGTAATTATGCATCAGGCAGAGGGAATTCTGCTACGCACTGAAGACATTGATTATTCTGTTGTTGAATGCTCCTTATGTACAAATCTCAGAGCTTAATTCCAGGAAGAGGATTGATTGGCCCTCAGCACACTCCAACCCCACAGGCTTCCTTTACGTTTCTCCAAATCGCAAAGCTCATTCCTGGCTCGGGGCCTCTGTATTTGCTGGTTCCCCTGCCTGCCATGCCCTTCATCCAGTGCCTCACCTGACTGATTCCATGTCTCATTTTGGTCTCAATTCAGATGTCAACTCTGATTTCTTAGTTCAGAGGCTGGCAAACTACAGCCCACAGGTCAAATCTGGCCCATCACTTGTTCTTATAAAGGCTGCAAGCTTGGTTTTTACACTTTAAAATAGTTGGAAGTAAAATCAAAAGAAGAAGATTGTTTTGTGACATGTGACAATTTTGAAATTCCAATTTCAGTGTCCATAAATAAGGCTTTGCTGGGACACGGCCACTCCTGCTCATCTGTTGTCAATGTTTGCTTTAGCACCAGAACATCAGAGTTGAATAATCCAGCCAGACTACAGGCCCACAAACCCTAAAATATTTACTCTGACCCTTTAAAGAAAACGTTTGCCAAGTCCTGTTCTGGTCGAAAACACTCAGCCTCTCTATAGCATTTATCCATTTTATTTTCTTCATAGCAGCTACTGGTACCTGAGTTCTCTCTCTCTCTCTCTCTCTCTCCTCTCTCTCTCTCTCTTTTTAATTTGCTGGTTTAAAACTTTTCTCCACCTACTCTCCCCCAATAAAACAAGAGCTCTATGAGAGCAGAGACTTTGTCTTATTTTCCTCTTGTATCTCCAGTGGCTGACACATAATACAATTTGGTAAGTGTTTAAAAAGTTTATTTTGTTTACATTACTTCTGTTAAATTGGGCACCTGCGTGGCTCAGTTGGTTAAGCATCCAACTCTTAGTTTCAGCTTAGGTCATGATCTCACAGTTCATGGGATGGAGCCCCACGTTGGGCTCTGCACTGGGATTCTTGCTCTCTCTTCTCTCTCTGCCCCTACCCAACTCATCTCTCTCTCTCTCTCTCTCTCTCAAAATAAAT